CTAGGCGTGGATAACCTATCTTGAGCTTCGACCATGACGTAAGATCATAAAACGAGCGACCCACCGACTGAACTACCGAACGAGCAAACGAGCTATCTAGCTATCTAGGTATCTAGCTATCTAGCTATCTAGCTATCTTAGCTAGTTCTACCTATATCGTGAAAATCGTTAGACAAGAAACTCGTGGGAACTTCACCTTCTCCGAAAGGATACAGAATAAAGAGAAAGAAAGCCTAAGGAAGTACATATTTCTTGTCTTCCATCGAATCGTGACGGAATTCGAAAGATGTTATTCTTTTCGCAAAAACGAAAGATTTGATTTTGTGAAAGGCCGACAAGTGAGAAAAGTGGCGGCGGGGCGGGACGGGACAGGGTTTACAAGGGGACAAAGATGATGAGGAGGACAGGAGAAGGGATTGAAAGAGAGAGATGGAGAGAAAAAGAGAGATAAGAAATTATTGTGGTTTGAAATCAAAAAGGAATTCAAACGTTTGGCATCCATGAAACTTAGAAAGAAAAGTTCTCTTCTCCAATTTTATCCAACGTTCTCTTTCCCCGAGTTTGATGACTTCAAAGAACGGATGAATGGACTTTTAACGAGGTTGCAAATGTCGGTGAAGCTTTGAAAACGAGAGTGGAATAAGAATAAGAAGGTGGAGGATCGGCCAAGACGGAAGAACGGAAGGTGATGACATAGAGTAGGTTTAACACGAAAGAAAGAATAAGAAGAAGAGAAGGAGGAAGAAGAAGTTAAAAGTAATGCGGATGTGAAATCTCGAATTACATTTGAGTCTTCCTCGAAAATCCGGAGCAGTGAAGAAGTCCTCCACTAATTTTAAGTGTCTCTAAATTCGAAAACCTCGCAGCTTCTCGTATAGGCAAACGAGGAAGAAAGATAGATAGATAGATAGATAGATAGATACAGAGAGAGAGAGAGAGAGAGAGAGAGAGAGGGTTGGAGGGAGAAAGAGAGAGAAAGGAAAGAAATGAAAACTCGTGAAAAAAGGAAAGAAAAGATTGATAGAAGGACAGAGATAGAGAGATAGAGAGATGGAGAGAGAGAGAGAGAGAGAAAGAGAGAGAGAAAGAGAGGTGGAAAGTTTAGACCCGCGGGTGTTTGCGCGCTCGTGCTCACTGCCAAATATAAACCCTGAAGGGCTTTTGGATGGAAGAAAAAGAAGAAAAAGAAGACGAAGAAGAAGCTACGAGACACGCGATGATGGTAGGCCGGGAAAATGCTTTGCCAGAGTACAAAAAGTCAGCCGAAAAGCTTCCTCGGCTCCCATTTGCTCTCCCGTTGATCTATCTTTAGCTCTCAGATACGGCTGTCGATCTCGTGGAATATCTCGCACGGACGATTTTACGCGAGTGCGAAATCTTCATGCTCCTCTTTTAATCGTTCTAATTTATTCAAACCTATTTCGTTCTATAAAATATATATATATATATATATATATATATATATATATATATATATATATATAGTTCTTAAAAAACCTTCCTCCTTTTTTTTCTTTTTCCTTTTCTTTTTTTTTGGTTCTTATTTATTTATTTTTTCCTCTCTTTTTCTTTCTTTCTTTCTTTCATATCTTACTCTACATCGGTGAGATTACATATTTAAACATTTTTAGAGAAGATCTCACTACCGTTTTGCTTTCATAAAAAAGATAAAATTCTTTTGACGTCAAAAAGATATCGGACAACTACTACCAGCCATCCTTTTTTTATTCTAACCGAACAATGGACAGAGAACATCGTTCGTGATAGTATTAAGAGAAGAGGGTTTTAAGGTACGACGAGAAAAAGATTTCTAGAAGAATCGTGAAGTCTTTGTAAGTCGACGGAAGCGGAGAGATGATTTTCTTTTCTCTCTCTCTCTCTCTCTCTCTCTCTCTCTCTCTCTCTCTCTCTCTCTCTTTCTCTCTTTCTTATTCTTCTTTCTCTCTTCTCTTCTCTTCTCTTCTCTTCTCTTCTCTTCTCTTCTCTTCTCTCCTCTTCTCTTCTCTTCTCTTCTCTTCTCTTCTCTTCTCTTCTCTTCTCTCTTCTCTTCTCTTCTCTTCTCTTCTCTTCTCTTCTCTTCTCTTCTCTTCTCTTCTCTTCTCTTCTCTTCTCTTTCTTTCTTCTCTTCTCTTCTCTTCTCTTCTCTTCTCTTCTCTCTTTCTCTCGTCGAAAATAATGGAACTTTTCCCTCTACGCGTACCACCTGCTCAAAATAACATATGCTTCGCGTAACGTCGTCCGTCGTCTTCGTCGTCTTCTTGGTCGTCTTCGTCGACACGCTTCGTTTCCGCTGTGCACGTTGTGTGCACCAAGTCGCTCGACTCCGATGATACCTCTCCTTCCCTCCTCCCCTTTTCTTTTCCTCTCTCTTTCTCTCTCTCTCCCTCTCTTTTTTCTCTCTCTCTCTCTCTCCGTTCGTCTGTCTGTCTGTCTGTCTGTCAGTCTGTCTGTCTGTCTGTCTGTCTGTCTGTCTGTCTATCTCTATTTTTTTCTCTTTCTACCCAGAATAGTAACGCTAGGATAGGAATGCAAATAATTGCCGAGCATTCGATTCACGCCGCTGAATTTCGATTTGTTTTGTAAATTAAGTACGTAGGCGTGTGTGTGCATATGTGCATGTGCGTAGCGCGTACGTGACGACCGAAGAACAGTCTTCCTTCGTTTCCCACCGAAATCGGTATTCCTCCTCTCCTCTTTCTCTACTCTTCCTCTTCTTCCACCTTCTCCTCTTTTTCCTCTTCGTCCTCTTCCTCTCTCGTTCGCTAGCACGAACTTCGTTAGTGCCAGATAACTAACCGACTAATATTAACTTGGAGAATTACCAAGAGGAACCGCACGGATTCCTTCCATCATTGATATCCTAACTTCAACGTTAACGTTATAATTTTTGCATGTATTGTGATTATGAATAGAATGGTCAAATATAAATCAAAATTTGTGTTAATTGGATTTGAAATTTTACAGTAGAACTTTCTTTTCGTATATCTAATCATTTTATTAGATATTATATATATATACTTCTTTTTTCTTGAAGTTTTTATAATGAAATGAAAGAAACCAATTTGAGAATAATGGAATAGAAAGATCATACGAAAGTTCAAAAAAAAAAAATAAAAAGAAAACAAAAGAAAAGGAAGAAAGAAAGAAAGAAAGAAAGAAAAAAACAAAAACGTGAAATTCTCTTAATAGACGGTTATACGTAGCTGCTTATCCGTCAACGGATGTTGGTTTCCTGATTTCACGTATATGAATGCACAGTGACACAGTAAAGGTAGAAACATTACGACGAAAGTTAGGGTCATAGGAGACGGAGACGATATTGCGTGTCGGAACGCACGTTCCACGGACGTTGAAAGGTGCAATGAAAGCCGCATATGGCGCCTTTTAGGCAGGTGTCGTGCACGATATATAAGCGAGAGAGAGGGAGGGTGGAAGAGAGAGAAAGAGGGAGAGGGAGGGTGGAAAAGAGAGAAAAAGAGAGGGAGAATGAGAAACAAAGCGTGTTCAGAAATGAACGACATCGTTGATTACGTTCTATTAACGCCATCGAGTGTCAGTAACGTTGTAGCAACATTGATCAGAACTATACTAGCCTGTGGTCGTTTGTCGCTTACCTTCGACCTTTCCCCCTTTCAAATCAAACGACGTTCGCGTGCGCTTAGCATCAACGCAGGAAATTAAATTTTAATCAAGCGTTAAGTTCGATCGTATCCATTTATTCCATGATTATCTTTTTCGATCTAGCTAGACGAATTTAAATCCGTGTGCTTACGTTCGAAGTTCTATCGATCAGCAGGTTAGCCTTGTTTTTGTAGATAATTCGATGTCGATGTTTTGTGTTATCAAAATTTCATTATAATCGATATATTTTTATAAGTATAACAATATTTAACAAAACTAAGGTATTAATCTTTTGAATATTCGAGAATGTGTATGTGAAACGATTATACGTGTGCTTTATGGCATTTGTGTGTGTGTGTGTGTGTGTGGCATTATCGTTCGACTAAGCTCGAAGGACGACGTTAAACAAAAAAAAAAGACAGCTGATTTCCCCCACCTGCCGATACTTATTAAGCAATTTTCCAACTAATCTTCACGATAACGCGTGGAACAAACGACGACAACAACGACGGAGAAAATGAAAGGCTCAGAGCCTCTACGTTCGTTAACGAGGAACTTTAACGATCGATCTTCAATGCCGACATTTACGAGTTTCTTTTCTTTTCGAGTTGGAACCGAGGTAACGCGCGAATAAGTTAAGTTTCTGTTTTCGAAAAAAATAGGTGGTAGACTGTTAGGCGAAGAAAAGAAACCATTTGAGAGTTGCCTCCTGTAACTCGAGAACCAACGTAGAAGTCAACAATATTGCGGATGACTTGGTGGTCTCTTAATGTGTGAAAAGAAGGAAACGATTATGAGAGAGGGGAGAAAGAAAGAAGTTCCCCTTTATTTCACAATTTCGTTTCTCCCATTAGAGATTACTAGACTAACGATAAATTATTTTCTTTATTTTCTTTCTACAATCTAGGTAAAATGATATTACCAAACAATTAGAAAATAAAATGAATAGACTATGAAAACAAAAAAAGTTAACAATAGACAATTACATGTAACAATAAATTACTTGTTTTATTTATTTTCATTCTATACAAATCTCTATTTAGATGAAATAATATTACCAAACAGATAAAAAAGGAATGAATAAATTACTAGACTATGAAGAATAAAATGAGGAAAATTATATAATAATAAATGACTTATTTTATTCAACTTCCTCTTCTGTAATAAAATTGTGTTTATTAAAATAATTTTGCAGATTGAAAAAATATGAATAAATTAGAGTATGGAAATACTGAGAATTACTGGAAATGTATTTTTACAAAAAAGAAAAAAAAGAAGAAGAAAAAGAAAGAAAAAGAAGTTTTCTACGTAAATACACATTGCAATAAAGATAACAATAGGATTCTAATCATAATAAACTCGAATTTTATATTTTGCAGACAGCGAGAGACGAACGAGCTGCATCAAGTCCGAGTGGTGCAGGTGGACAAAACAACCACTCGTCTTCATCTCCATCGCCCTCCCCTGTCGGCGATGCACCTCTTGGACGAGCCCTTATGGAGGCCGCACTTCAACAGGCTACTTCCGGCTCGCAGGAGCCACCCTTAGTCGTGACACCACCTGGTTATTGGTTAGATGGAACCGATCATCGACATACCTTGGACTCGGCAGGCAGAGCACTACTTCCTGCTCAGCCAGCCTGGCAACCTAGGATAGATCAGGATGACACGGCTAAGTGTTACAGGCGTTTCTTCGTTGGCAGAGTACGTTTACATCAAACATATGCGTAAATCTTATCCTTTAATAGATTATGTTAATGGTTTCGATTGCTCAAGTATGCTTCTAATCTTTAACATATGTCATAAATTTGATCACCATTTTTTTCTTTTTATTTTTTTTTAAACGTGTGTGCTGTTATTGTTTTAAAAGTTGAATAATTAGGGATTTTATTTTGTTGTCTATTTTTGTTTTATCTTTCAACTTTGTCAAAGAATTCGTTCTTTTGTGATGGCCTTGAAAGAAAGATGGTCATCGGCCTAACAGCACCAAGCGTACATTATGTATAACGCTCGTAAACGTACGTATGTATATACGTACGTACTCAAGTTTATGTGAAGATGGAGTGAGATGGAGATGATGGTTAGAGTAAAAGAAAAAAGGAAAGAAATAAAGAAAGAGAGAAAGAGAGAAATAAAGATAAAGATGGAGGCAGAGGCGCAGGAAAAGGAAAAGAGCACTTCGGGCGTGGGAGTGGGAATGTTCTCATAGTCTCGAAGAAGAAGAGGAGAGAGACGATGCTTCTTTAACCTGAAGAAATACCCCCACTCCTTTGCTTCACCAGTGTTCCTGATTTTCATCCTTACTTGTCTCTCTTCCGTCTTTAACCGCAATCTACCCCAATCATCCTTACAATATTATTATTTATTCTTTTTAAGTAGGAAAAAAGAAATAATCATTTTTTGTCAGTACTCTTTTTTATTTCTTCGTAACAACATTATCGTAGATACATATCATAACAATATTCCGTGTCTTTTATAGATGAGAATTGATAGTACATGTTACTATATATATAATATTAAACAAAATATATATATGTAGTATGATCTAATAGTATATATATATATGTATGTATAATAGTATATTTATGGTATAACAGTTGTATTACATAATATATAAATATATTATATTAGAGAGAGTACGTATTACTATAAATTATTATACAATGCATACATATAAATATGTTGACGTAATGATGAAAGTAAAATACGAAGTGGATAGTTAATAAAATAAAAGAAATAATTAGTCTTTAGATCGTAGAAAACGTTGAAGAGTGAAAATAGCTAAAAGTGCATTTCCCCTTCTCTTTAATAGTTCATTCTTATCTAAGAGTTCACCTGTTACCTTTGTCTAGCGTGCACCTGGGTTACCTCTATTTTTAACACGAACTTAAAACTCGTTAGGTAACGTAACGTGAGCGAGATAATGTACGCATGAACTCGTTTCTTCGCGGGAGCGTGCTCGTGTTCGCCGCCATTGTTCAAGAGTGGCGGTAAATAATTGCACTGCGTGTCATAGAGAACGAAAAGCGATTTTTATCGGGCCATAGAATGTATACATATCGTAAATATATTTACAACTATGTATAGTGTATACCATATGTATCATGATCGGTCTCATCCGATTCCGTGTTTTTTCCTCTTTTATATATATATATATATATATATATATATATATATATATATATATATATTTTATTTTACAATATTTCCCTGTCGAAGAAGTTAACTTTTTTCTTTATTTTTCATTTTTTTTTTTTTTTTTTATTTCGTTCGAGTGCAACATACGTGTAGTTACAAACTCGTTATCACCCTCGTTATCGTATTTGACGACAACCGTTAAGAGAGAAAATAAAAAGAAAAAGAAAAGAAAAAAAAGAAAAAAATGATATCGTAGAAAAGTTAAACAAATCTCTTCTCTTTACATTTCTTTTTAATAGCTATTATCGTAGACAAGAAAGAAAGCTAAGAACGTTTCTCCCAATTATTTATCCTATTCTATCCCATCCTATCCACCCTCTGTCCTTTGTCAGTGTCGGTGCTTTCGATAACCTTTTAAAAAGAACTCCGAAGGATTGCCATAAATATCTCGTCAGCGTTACGATAAGTTTAATGGTCCATGTTGGCTTCGCTAAACTGTGAAAGACGTGAGAAAAAAATAGATAAAGAGAGAGAGAGAGAGAGAGAGAAAGAGGGAGAAATAGAAAAAGAATAGTAAAGAAGACGAACTTCCTTATACATACTTCTTCGTCTTATTATTTTATCGAAAAGAAGAAATTTGGGTTTCATTCAATAAAAAACTTTTCAGGAAAACAGAACTTATGTTGTCCTTTCATTGTTATATCGTTATTCTATATTCTAATGACATAACGAGTATTCTCTTGTTTTCTTTTCTTTTTCCTTTCGTTTTATTTTATTTCTTTCTTTCCTACCTTCTTCTTTCTCTTTTCTTCCTTTTTTTTGTTTTTAATAATGAAAAGGTCATGATCTTTTGCGAACAAAAGGCTCGTATCGAAAGGATGCATACACCTTATCTCTCCATGCGATCGCATTGTGCGGTTAAGCAGAGAGCCCATTAAAAGAGCGATTTTATTATGCGCAATATCGCTTCTCTAATTAGCGGTCGCCACGAATACCAACGCGTAATCCGTTCCATACCACGACTTATTAAAGCGCCACATGCCTTTTCTATCACCTTTACTTGTGTATTACAAATAGAAAGAGAAAAACAGAGAGAGAGAGAGAGAGAGAGAGAGAGAAAGAGGAAAACAACGGATATTACGCGTCTTTTTTCTGCGTGATAACACTCAGAGTTTATTTGATTTGATACGTCCATCCTAATCGTTTTATAATATTAATAAAATCCGTCTTTCTCACATCATATCATATAATGATATTAAATTGTTCGAAATCTCAATTCTAAAACGTTCAATTTAAATCAAAAATTGAAATGTATCACTAAATTGAAAAGCGAACAAAAAAATTTATACAAACTTAATGAAATGTCACGTTTTAATATATGCATGACAAATTAATGTGTTTTTAATAATATTATATGTGTACTACTACGTATATGTTTAAATTCGTGTGTGTGTGTGTGTGTGTGTGTGTGTGTGTGTGAAAAAGCAGAATTAATTTTTCGAACCGTCCAACATTATTACATTTTATTCTAGATTCTTGTTTACTTTTATTTTTTGTTTTTGTTTGTTCTTTTCTTTTTTTTTATAATTAATTAAAGCACTATCAAGACATCGTTAATGATTCGATCATAAAAAGGTTTCATTACGTTTTTTACATCTTTCGTAGGAACATGTGAACCTGATAGGAAGGGACAGCGAGAATGGGCCGGTCCTTGTCTCGGTGAAGGCCGAGACGGTCGCTGGACAAGAACACTGGCGAGTATTGCTGAGATTACGTGCTGGTTCAACGCATGAGTTAGTCCCAGCAGCATCTCTTGGACCGATTCCTTCACCAGCGAAAATGGTTAAGGTAAATGAGTTTTTATTTTTCAACGAAATACATTAATATAATAATGATCAATTAAATGTATAGTATATATATATATATAGTATATATATATATATATATTTTTTTTTTTTCGATTGAAGATGATGAAAGATAACATGCATATTTTCTTAATGAGAATCGTTTGATCGTTTTTATTGATCTCTCAGTCTTGTATGATAGAGGTTAATAAGACAAATATCACTTGGAATCGTGAGTAATTTAACGACTTATAATTCGGACTCGTACGAGGGCAACGTGTCACGTGTGTTGAATCGACGAAAATAGATCATCGCTACCAAAGTACAAGAGTACGCGGTGACAGAAGTAGAGAGAGAGAGAGAGAGAGAGAGAGAGAGAGAGAGAGAGAGAGAGAGAGAGAGAGAGAGAGAGAGAGAGAGAGAGAGAGAGAGAGAGAGAGAGAGAGAGAGAGAGAGAGAGAGAGAGAGAGAGAGAGAGAGAGAGAGAGAGAGAGAGAGAGAGAGAGAGAGAGAGAGAGAGAGAGATGACCAATATCTTTTTTCAGACGATCAATGACTCCTTGAACGTAAACACTTTGATGCCAGTGGTATGTTCAGGGGCTGGTACTTTGATAGCTCAATATGACGAGCATGCACTCGTCTCGAGATTCAAATTCGGCGTACTACATCAACGGGCTGGGCAGGTGACCGAGGAACAGCTTTTCGGTAATCGCCAAATCACACCTGCTTTTCAAGAATTTCTTGATCTTTTGGGGCAAAAGATCGACTTGAAAGATCATAAAGGGTCTGTATATCATCATTTAATATTATTATTACTTTAACATTTATTAAAGAGCTTACTCAATGTAATATTCAATTCTGTAGATATCGAGGTGGTTTGGATACTCGACACGGCCAAACAGGAGATTCCGCGGTTTACGAAGTATTTCGTGGTCGTGAGGTTCTCTTCCATGTAGCTTCGCTTTTACCGTATAGTCCAGGTGATTCGCAACAATTACAACGCAAGAGACATATTGGTAATGATATCGTAGCGATTATATTCCAAGAGGAACCTACACCTTTCAGTCCTGATATGATCGCTAGCCACTTTTTGCACGCCTTTATCGTCGTGCAAGTCGTCGATCCATGTACGCCTAACACAAGGTACAATGTATATATATATATATATATGTATCATTTAAATTAAATTAAATTGTTTAAAAAATATAGTATTTATTGTCTTATTTATCATTTGTAGGTATAAGGTGAGCATAACGGCGAGAGACGACGTACCTTGGTTTGGTCCGGCCTTACCAACACCTGCTGTCTTCCTGAGAGGCGTCGAATTTAAAGAATTTCTTCTTACGAAATTGGTCAATGCTGAAAATGCGGCTTACAAGGCTGAGAAGTTCTCAAAATTAGAAGTAAGTTACAGTTATTTTCTCTTTTTTTTAATTATTATTATTTTATCTTATTTCATTCTGATATCATTTTAAGTATAACAAGTATACTAATATCTGTGATATGATGATCAGTTACGAACTAGATCCGCTCTGTTGGAGTCCTTGACGGAAGGATTGCAAGCAAAAACAACGGAGTTCTTAGGTGGTACCATCGGTTTAGGAGGTAATTTAACATTCGGTGGAAATTGTCCTGTAAGCCCAACGGCAAGCGACTCCTCGGCTTCCGGTGGCGGAGGTACTGGCTCAAGATTTATCGATACGGTACGAAAAGCATTGATATCTCGAGTGAGAAATGCATCGACCGAGAGTGTACCTCAACAACTCGCTAAAAAGGGTGCTCATTCTGAACCAAGTCCACCAAGTAATCGACAATCCAACGGAAAGATAAGTGGGAAACGATCCGTTGAACCGTCAAGTCCATTGGGTTCGCCGGATTTGACTTTACGAAGGGACTCAGAAAGAGGTAGTCCTAGTTTGGGAAGTCAAGACAGTAGTTTGTCCAATACGGACAATCAGGATAGCAGTTTGGCTACATTGCAGCAGGATGAGGTAGATCGTAGAGAGTCTAATACAGGAATTGGTGGAGCAAATGATTCCACGAGCACGGAAAAGATCACTACGGTTTCCTCGGTTCAACGATTAACTCATGAAAACTTGAGAAGACAGGAACGAACAGAAAAGACCGAAGTAACACAACGCGTTGTTTCCGAGAGCGACGATAGCTCATTGAACAGCGAGCTTGAACTCGACCAAGCTGTTTATCCTGACAGCGATACCGGTCTTGAATCTATGAGTTCCGCGGAAACGCACGACACTACGAGGTGTAATGCCAAAGACGGTGCTGCGGAAACCGAAACTTTGAGGATGGAAGTTACTAGACTTAAGTGCGATAAGCTGGACTTATTGAGACAAAATGTGGTAAGTTTAAAAAGCTTAAATATTTCTTTAATCCATTCCTATGTATTATCCAAATGATATATATTCCGAATTGTATTTATTATTATTCATTATCTTTTAACCCAACAGACTTGTCAACGCGACATTAAACGCCTTCGAGAGAAAGAGTTACAATTGCAATCTGACTTAGCAGCAGCATCGAAAGAGATTCTCCGATTAAGGGCGATGCTTAAAGAATGTTCGACGAGCATTCCTTTGGATAACAACAATCAACAAACGTCCACCGTTTGAAGGACCGTCGAACGCATTTTTTGATTCGTTATCGCTAACGGTTATTACCGTTAAAGATCGCTATATTTTAATCGTCGAATGGGGACCGACCAATTCGTAAACTTCGTAGATCTTCCACTCTTCCGAGATCGTTTCTTTTAAAAGGGAATCATTTGTTGTGTATATATGTATATATATATATATATATATATACACGAAAAAACTTGCAATCAATGCTTTCTTCCTCGGTTCGCTTTTACGACTGGGTTTTCTTAGATAGCGATTGGTACAAATTCGATAAGTCATAAGGGATATGTAATTAAAATGTAAAGTCAAAGACGACACAGTTCTTTCGAAGTGGAACTCGTTATTAGAACGTACAACAGTATAGATTCTGATTGTTGAAGTACTTGTTTAACTTATATCCCAAATATTTATCGATTAATTTATTGATAGATATAAGGTAATCCCTTGTAGTCAATATAGTTGATAATTCAATAGATATAAATACCAACCGCGATACAAACATCTTGTCATTATAATATTAGTCACTTTTTAAAGTGAAATGGCCTTTAGATCTAGCATTTGTGATGCTAAAAAGAGCACGCAAAAAGTAACGCACCAATGCATATGACCGTGTATTAGTTAAGTGTAGGTCACTTAACACCGATTATACTTCTCGCACACATCTTACATGGTATATACATATATATATACATATATATATATATATATATTTATTTACATATATATATGTTTATATATACATATATATTTATAAATATGTATATATATATATATTTATATATTTATACATATATATATATATATATATATATATATATATACTACTGTAAGTAGTAATAATACAAACATCTATTAAAATCTTTGAAGATTCGGATTTATTAATTTACCGATTAAGTCTAATAATAATGATATATCTTAACAAATTCGAGAATCTTCAAAACTTATGTGAACATGTCGCAGGAAAGTAATAGTTTCTCGATAATACGTTGGCACATTAGTGAATATAAATGTCACGCAAGTTAATACTTCAATAGATACTTCCATCGTCTCTTAAAATCAATTTACATAATTCGACGAATCTATTGATCATTTTTCTAATAAATTATTCTATAATATACGTATATCTAATCGGTCATTGCGTTAAAATAACATTAAAAGAAAAGTAACATACATTGTTCATGTTTTGTTAATATGAAAAAAAAATAAGAAGAAGTTAAATATTACTTGCTGCTTTATTTTGTGCTATGTCTCCGTTAGTTTTTATTATTAGTATTATAATATGATTTATATATATATATATATATGTATATATATATATATATATATATATATATATATATAAAAGTATTTTATATTAACAATAACGTTTTTATTGATATAGCTTGTGTAAATAATTGATCATCCAAGTAGATGCAAATATTGACAGGATTTAGAGAGAAAAAAAAAGGAAAAAGGACAAAAACGTTCACTCACAACACACGTACAATACCAAAGCTTAATATAGTTGAAGTCATTTCTTTTCTTTCTCTACATTCCTTTTCATACAATATGCATTGAGTTACATATAGAATATAATATGTATCGTATACCTTCGGCACTTGTGAAATCTTTACTATACTTATCATTCAAATTTCTTCCTTCAGAGCACATTAGAGGTGCATATATATACATATATACATATACATATATATATGCATATATATATACACGCACATATATTATGAATACTTTGCTAAAACACCACGGATATCACTGCCTATACAGTATCACTTTGCAATTCCATCTTTGTCATTTATAAAAGTAATATTACAAATATTATAAATTGTTATCTTATTAATGTCGATAAAAATTGATAAATTATAATTTATTATAAATCACCGATTCGCAATATGTTTCATTGTTTTTTTTTTGTAACAAACGATTTGAATTAAAATTCAATTTTTAATAATGTATATAATGTAAAAATTGCGTTTCTCGTTATATTTGTGGTTCGATTCTGTAAACGTGTTTCGTCACTTTTTTTCTTTTTTTTTTTTTTTCTTTTTCTTTTTAATTTAACTAACTACTATCGTCTGGTTCTTATGCTGGCCTTGCAAAATCAAAGAAAGATGATTTATTACAATGTATTACAAAGAGGTACGCGTTACTACGTTTTGAAAGAAAGTGAGAAAGAAAGAGAATAAGAGAGAGAACGAAAGTAAGAGAGTGAGAGAGGGAGAGAGAGAGAGAGTGTGAAAGCATAACAGAGTGCGCATGCGCGAGAGAAAGAGAGAGAATACTATTGCTATAAGTATATATTTTGTATTTAAATATTAATTATTCGAATCTAACTAACTGAACTGCGGATACTAATTATTCTCTGATACTAAAATAGGAAAATATATATATATATTTCTTATGACTGGTAAGAGTATTCGCATTCTGTATTTTCTTGGTTTTCTTTTCTTTTTTATTTAAAAATTTTTTTTTTCTAATGCACAACTGTCGACTCGTATATCAACGATAAATGATATCCACCAATAAAAAATAAAAACGATACAAATAAATTTTTCTTTTTTTCAATAGATGGTCCTTTTTTAATTTTTTTTTTTTTTTTTAATAATATGTCATTTACAGGATAAAAAAATTATTTAGGGCGAATAAATTTAGAAAAAAGAATAATTTACTGACGTATAAACGTAATTTAAAACATTTATTTATACTGATTGGTTTTACATTTCTACACATTTTAATATCTGTTTATGCAAATGGAAATGTTCAGTTCTTATTACGAAATATTGTCTTTCTAATCCTATTATAGTAAAATATATAAACAATGCTCGATCAAAATGTAAAGTGTAATGTATAAATAAACAATTTCAGAGAAATGAATATCGCAAATTATGTGATTCATTTTTTCTTGTTTTTTTTTTTTTTTAATAATATTAATAATAATGATTACATATTAAATAATACTACATAATAAATATATAAATTTTATTGACGTTGTTTATTAAAAAAAAAAAGAAAATATATATATATTTTTTATTTAATAAACAGTATAAAATAATAGGAAACGCTCATACATAGTAACTTATCATAATAAAATCGATTTGTCGTTCATTCGAATTTATTCTTAGACGATAGGCAATCTTCTATGAAAGGTGATTTACGCAAGGCCAGGATATTAAAACTGCTTTGTAAAAGTAGGTCACCTAGGAAGTATAATTTCCCCTAATTTTACACAAATTATTTCCAGATACCTCATGAAGGGTAAAAGACAAATTTATCCGAGGCCACTGAATGTGTCTCGTTAGCTGATATAAAAATAAAGTGATCCCTTTGATGAAACAAAAGGAAAAAAAAAAAAAAAAAAAAAAAAAAAAGAAAAAAGATTACACTCGAAAGATTATTTAGATAGGCGTTATCAAAGAATAGAGTATACTTCTTTATCTGTAACATAACAATCTTTTAAACCAATAAATAACGAAGAAGATAAAAGAAAGGAAAAAAAAAGAATCAATACCACTGCATAACGAGAGGAAAGAGTCTGTCGATAATATCGGAATCTACTAATATCTCACAATTTAAATTCCCCGCCGTAACAATATTATTAACTTAGCAATAATTTCGAATTGGAACGGAAAAAAGGAACGTATATGGATTTTTTACTTCAGAATATAAATACAAATTTTGTCATTAGATAGAAGAAACATAAGAAGAGATAAAAAAGAAAAGTATACGATTGATACGCATAAAAAAAGTTGCGTAAAAAGAGATATCCTAAACGACCGACGGAGTAACCCTTTTATTTCACAGCAGCGCCACGCCCGACACTGCCCTCTAAACTGCATAGTCCGTGAAGTATGTTTATTACCGACAATACAAAATTGGCTGAAGTGGTAGACGAAAATGGTTAATTGTCAGGCTCGTTAGTGCAGCAGGTGAGCGATCAATTATTACGAAAATCGGCGTGTTATTTGTTCTCGGAATGTACAGTACGATTGACCCTTTCAAAGTCTCGTGTAAAACAAAAACGGAGTTTTCTTTGGACATTATCGCCATAGATTCATGGCATGTATCATTGAAATCACCTTTTCGAGACCGTTTGGTCTATTCGTTCCCACCACCCCCTCCCCTACCACTAATCTAACAAAAGAATTTTTAATTTCTTTCATGGCTATATTAAAGCTACTTCCATTATACGTCTTTACACGTTCGCGCACAAACTCACCTAAAATATCGATAATTTCGTGAGCATCGTTGAAAAGAAACAATACGCGCTAACCTCGGGACACATCAGCAAGACGTAGATTAATTTATTACGTCCATTCAGAAAACATACGTCCTCTCTCGTTGTTCCTCGCACACATACAGACACGCACATACGCGCGCGCGCACGCAACGCAACACAGGCGTGCTCGCGCGCGCGCTGACGAACACATACATACATACATACAAAACATAACACACACCACATATATCACATGCACGTATTAACATCGTGTCTTCTGTTCGTCGCGTGGAAAAAGTGACATGCATGATAAATTTCGATATACTCCAGTATGTGCGTATGTATTGGAGTACCAGACAGTATAGATGTGTGGCAGGTGCAATGTTGCATCCCCCTGATGCGCGCGACTACGTTTATATAGTAGCTCTAATGTCATACCGAAGGCTACTTCTTAGTAATTCACAAAGGGTTCACTCTTCCGTGAAGTACAGTATATGGGTACTTTCCAGGCGATACCTAGCACGTACCTTGCTAGAAAAATATTTGTAAAGACTTGGTGGAACGAGAGCATGGCTTCTGGTGCATCATCCTTAGGTAGCGCTGGAGGTAGTGGTGAGTTTTCTTTCTTCATTTATTATTAATTGTTCTAGCGTGAAGAAACATAATGATCTCTTTATCTTGATCTTTATAATATCAAAACACATGTATCTTTATAGTATAATCTTATTGATAAGTAATACATGTACTAAAATTAGAATAATCTATAATAATTAAAAAATTAGGGCAATATTCTTATTAGAATTAAAACAGTTTTTATATTGTTTTTAAAAAGTTTGGGAGATTGTTCATAATTTTTCATTTGCAAAAAAGTGATGAATCATGATGCTTATATGCGTGACCTAGAGTTTCTTTTCTGGTGAAAGCTAGTGAGACTTTTGATTATAATGTTTCGTCTAATGGAACAAGTAATCGTTGGTTCGTATCTTTACTTCTATTAATTAAGGTATTACGTATTAATATTATTATCTTGGTAGACTTTTCTTCCAATATTATATAAGATATTATTTTTATTTAATAATCATACTTTATATAAAAATAGTAATATCTATATTTCTTTTTTTTTTTCTAGATGGAGCAATAAATATGGGTA